GCTATGCTTTTATTCAAATGAGCAAAATTTGCGTGTTTTTCAAAAACAAATCAAACTCTAAATCGCAATCCAAAATGTCAAAAAATGTCAATCAACATCAGCAATTATTTATCAAAATAACGTTGAAAATGGATTCATTTCTTAAATTAGAGTAGCAAAATTTTTTCGGATAGTGTTTTTCTCCTATTTGGTTGCGTGAAAAAATTTGAGTGACTTAATTTTCCCTCAAAATTCAGGTTTCACATAATTTGTCTTATAAATTGGAGTCATTTTCATGATTTGATATTGAGACCCATTTGATCATGATTTGATATTTTGAAAGCATTTTCTCAAAGTCGAGAATTTCTTGCTTCTGAGAATGTTGGATGGAAGCTCTTGCTTCTGAGAAGAAAAAAGAGCAAAGGATCATATTGAACTAAAATGATCAAATTAGTGTCATTTTGTTGATGATCAATTTTCCAAAAAACACCTAAAAACGCTTTTTTAAACTGTTTTTCAAACTTTCGCCTGCGGCGCAGAAAATTTGGCTAAAACATGGACTAAACCTGCTTAGAGAGAGCTCAAAAAATCAATTCGGCCGACCTAAAAAAAAGTCAACAAAATTTTCGAAAATTTTTTGAAAATCCGCCCCTCCCCTCGAGAAAATCCTAGATCCGCCCCTGTTGATGATCCAACAATAGTTTGTTCTTAAGTAGCGTTAATCCTGTCCTACACAAACAGCGACAAAATTATTTTTTTGTTTTATAAAAAAAATTTCTGGGATGAAAACGGTGGTGGAATATCTTTGTTAGTTAAACAACAATTAGCTATTTGTACTTTTGAATATATTATTTTTTTCATTTTCAGGACTTGTGCGTTCGTATTGACTTGGGCGAGCGGAGCAAAGACAAGTTCTTTTTACAAGCAGAAGACATCCCTGGGATATTAAACGACAAAAGCTTCCAGGTAATTTATACAGAATTAATTTTTTTGGTTTGATTGAAACTAGTCTAGACTGAAGGCTAATCAAACTGCAATGACAGAATAAAGACGTTGCAAAGTTTTGTTCTCACTCAAGCAAGCAAACTACTTTTTATTTTTTTTGCTATTATTACAGAGGGTTGTAATTTGGGCCATGGTAGTTTCACAGCATAAAACAGTTATCAAAATTTTTCTTGACTATATCCTTCAGCATTTCGTTTATGAATCGAAAAAATAAACAAAAAACTCGAAATCAGTTGGATCTTACTTTTTGAGCCGTTATTTGAACAGTCAGGTGCAACTTATTGGGAAAATAAATTTGTTGTTGATTCATCATCTTAATCATCACATACAGTTTCAAATTCAATAAAAATTTGTTTATAAACGTAACGGAATCGATTTTTTCCTTATGCAAAAAAACAGCATATTAAAGAGATACTAAAACCAGTAGTTAGAAGACATATTTGCCGATATTCGTTTAATTGCTGAATGAAAACTAAAAATTGCAATATTCTTACCGCGGCTGTAAAAGTCAGGAAAAAATCAAAGGATGTGTTAAGGAAACTAAGTGTGCAACCCCCCTCCCAATTAAACAAGATCGTTCACATGGTTAAAAGTAGTATTTTTCAGCCAATCAGATTTGAGTACAGTACATTCAAGCCTTACAGCTTGAACTTGCAATTTAATTTTTCGAGGGAGATTGTCAACTTGACCTATTCAGGGGGAGAGATTGTTCACATAGGCCTGTTAACGTGGTCTAGATATAATATAGACTTACATAGCCAATCAATATATATCCAGGACGAGCGTGAGCTATTGAGATTTTTCTGCAGAAATCTTGAGCGCACCACTGCCTAAAATTTGTCTCAAACAAAAATTGAATCATTTTCATAACTTAATAAAAGTGTGCTAGATGTGTTAAATTAAACTAACCCCTCCATCCAGGGGCGGATCTAGGATTTTCTCGAGGGGGGGGGGGGCGGATTTTTTAAAAAAAATCGAAAATTTTGTCGACCTTTTTTTTTAGGTCGACCAAATTGATTTTCCGAGCTCTGCCAAAGCACCAAAAAGACACTGTTTCGGCCAGATTTTCTGCGCCGGAGGCAAAATTTTGAAAAAACAGGCAAAAAGTAGACGTTTTTAGGCTTTTTTGGAAAATTTTGACCAAAAAATCCTGTTTTTTCGGCGCGCGCTCCCCCCTCAAAATTAGTATATATTGGCGCCATAGGCGCCTTTAGAAACGTTTTAGGGTACGTCACCAAAAATGGATACCTCCATCAGACTCGGTTTTTAGCGGGACCCCTCTGTCACAATTTGACCAAAAGTTTTATAAAGCGCTTTCGTTGTTGAATAAATGATGTCCGTTTCGCAGGACGAGCAGGAGTGGGACATCTTCAAGATGGTGCAGACGGGAGAGAACAATGCCCAGGCGGAGCCGGATGACGAGGAGCCGGATGGAGTGCTGGTGCTGAGGTGCAACGTCAAGAGGAAGTTCAACTACTTCCTCTACAACTGCTTCCTAGTCATGGTCAGTTAATACATGGCATCTCTGCAACTACCCCGTTTTTGGTTGGATCCACCAACTGATGTTTTGAGCTCTCCTAAAAATTAGGAAGGCATCGTTTGAACGAAAACTTCTGCGTTCCAGGCAACTTACTCAAAAAAATTGCCTTAATTTGACGTTTTTGAGTAGTTTTGATTTTTTAAATCATGGTAATTGATGGTAATTTATATTAACCCCGAATAATTGATTAATTTGATCAAATTATTTTTTGCAACAGCTATTCATATGCCTTTTTCACTCTAAATAGGTCTAAGAATCAAAACGTATAGGCCATTTTTTCTCGACATCCTGCAGTTTTTTTCCGGGGTTTCTCATTGCAGCTCAAATTACGACTGAAAAGGCCTTAATATTATATATTTCTTGAACCAACCTTTTTTGTTTATGGTTTCTGAATTAAATTCAGAGCAAAAGTGGCCGGAAAATGTGGGAGGTTTTTTGGCCCTTTTTGGATAATTTTTGCCTTGAAAATGGCGTTTTTGGATATGCTGTTCGAAATGAAGTGCTTCAATGTTGTTAAACAAATCATCGTCGCAGTCAATTTTGGTACAGATCAAATTTTCCCTATGAATCTATTTAGAATGGTCACCTTTCTATAAAAGTAATCTGTCAGTTCTTATGAAAAAATAATTTTTCAAAATTTTCCCATTCCGTATCTTATTTTATAATGCATTTGAATCCCTATTTAACCTACTCTGACTTCTAAAACTAGGAAATAGATGTCAAAATGACAAACAAACATCCTGATGTTCATCTTGTTAAAATGAAAAGTTAAGAGCTGGGGAAAAATTAGAGTAAAAATCTTCATAAAAATCTTCGTAAAAATTAAATCTTCATCCTGTTAAAATGAAAAGTTAAGAGCTGGGGAAAAATTAGAGTAAAAATAGATCTTTTGAGAAACTGAGTTGGTGTTCGACCTTTTGAAAAGGTTCTAAAAAAGTGCATGACGTTTTGTTTACGTTGTTTACATTTCCAAACTTTAATTTACGCTTGATGAATTAGCTCTTCTCCTGTTTGGTTTCTTTTGATAGGACGTCTATTAATAAACATTTCACTCAGACTTTTCGCGTTGTCTAATCAAAATTTTGCTCTCGAGGGTTTTCTTCAACTACTGACTGATTAAACCAAATCACCCTCTGAAGTAGTTCAAATGATGGGGTTGGGTTTCAATTCATAAATTATTGATGAGGCAGAGTAGGAAATGAAAGAGATTTTGTTGAGTTCTGTTGAACTCATTTCGTTTTTACATGTTTCAAAAATACAGGGCATTTTCACCGCATTTTGTCAGTTTTGTTTCGATTTCGAAAGGAAAAATTTTTAAAAGAATCATAATAATCATGTTAATAATCATCAAAATCATTATAGTTATAATCAGGGGCGGATTTAGAGGGGGCGAGGGGGGGGGGGGGGCGTCCGCCCCCCCCCCCCCTCAGAGATTCGACCCCCTGTCGACCCAAAGGGTCCCCCCTTTGATACTTTTTCAGAAATCCAATTTTGGCCGACCGACCCTAAAATTTTTCTAAAGGCGCCTTGGGCGCCAATATATACTAACTTTGAGGGGAAGCGCGCGCCAAAAAAAACGCGATTTTTTTTGTCAACATTTTTCAAAAAGTGCCCAAAAACGGCCTTTTTGACTGTTTTTTTTTTCAAAAATTTGCCTGCGGCGCAGAAAATTTACCCACAATAGGGGCAAAACAGTGCTTTGGGAGAGCTCGAAAAATCAATTTGGTCGACCTAAAAAAAGGTCGTCAAAATTTTGGAAAGTTTTTTGAAAATCCGCCCCCCCTCGAGAAAATCCCAGATCCGCCCCTGGTTATAATAATATAAATAATCATACTAAAAAAAATTGTTCAAAAGTGCTTAAAACTAAACGTCTAATTAATATAACTAAATTTTAATTGAACTTAACTAAATTGAAATTGAGTATATTAACTGTGTTGATGTGTTTTGTTGTTGCAGCTGTTCTTCGCTGTGATGTCGATGTGTAACTTTGCGAACAAGCCGGAGAACGTGCAGTTCCGACTGGCCGGTACCCTCACTCTCGTGCTGACCAGTGTCGCGTACAAACTCATGCTGTCCAACTCCCTCCCCACCATCTCCTACCTCACTCTAGTCGTGAGTCACTTTTAATTACCAACACCCATCATCTCTTTCTTAGTCGTGAGTCACTTTTAATTGCAATCATCTCGAATTTAATCGTGAGTCATTCATTTTCAATTATCAACACCTGGTCTTTTCTGCTATGCACGTTTCAGAACTGATTTTGTTCATTGAAAAAAAATAGATAAAAATGCTCAAATCTGATTGGTTAAAATTACTTCAAAGGAAAAAACTTTAAAAAAATTCAGAAGCTCAATTATTAATTTGATAATTTGGACCGTAAAACAAAAAAACCCAACCAACACCCATCGTCTTTTACTTAATCGTGAGTTTTTCATATTTGCAAACAGATTGACCGGTTGCTGCTGTGCAATTTGCACTGAAGGCTCCGATCATAGCGGAAACTTAAATTTTCAGGATACTTACACAATGGCTGAAATTAATATAAGTTGTTTGTTTTTTTTCTACATTTTGTTATATTCATGTTTCAAAAACTTCGAATTTCTTGATAAGGCTTTAAAAATAAGTTTCAACAATCAATCATTGGTTTTCTCAGCCTAAATAACAAATCTTCGCTCTGCTCTCTCGCTTAAAGTGCTCAATAATTTGGACTGAGAATTAAACCGTTTAAAAACCAATTTTTGCAAAAGGTTTTCATATATTATCTGAGACGACTTATTATAATCTTAGTCGACATGCGCAAAAAGAGAAAAAATATATATGTACAAATTTAATAACCAAAGCATCAAAAACTAAAACAAAATTAGCATGATGCTCTCCAAAACGTGCAGACAGTTCCTCTCATTTCTACCTTTTTAAAATCAAATATATATTGCTCTCATATTTCGCTCTAGTTCATAGTGATCATTTCTAAAAAATGAAAAATACATTCAAAAAAGTAAATCAGAAATTTTTTTTTAAAGCAGTTAGTTGCTGTGTAGCTAACACATAATTCCAACCACTGTTAATTGTTGGACAAAAAAACAAAGACAAATGGTTTAAAGAAATTCCAAAAAACTTATATAATTTTCAAACTTTCACTCCCACTTGAAAGCAGTAGAGTAGGTGAATTGAGCTTGTAAGACCCATGTAACTTTTTAAGAAATTAGATAAAATTCTATCAAGTTTCTATCAAAGAAACATTTGTTTCTTTTTGTAACAAAAATATCCTTGGCTGGTCGTTCGCGCTTCGTTTTTTTTTGCATACCCAGAACAATCACCACTTGTTGTTGTTCAAGCAGCACAAAAAAAAATAAAAAAAACTATATTTCAAAATTTACCCAAATTTTGACGCGTCAGAAGCATGTAAAAATTTAAATTAGTCTCCATATATAACCGCAAATCATTCAAAGAAATGAAAATGAGTCTGAAAATCAAGAAAAATCTTTCCAAAATAAAACAAAAAATTTTTGAAAGATATAAATACAGTTCAAATTTCAGATGAAAAGTTACAAAAACATAATTTTGTACACTGTACAAAATTGATTTTGTTTATTTGAAAAAATACCCGGGTTGAAGTCCCACCGTTAAATATTGCTTTTTTGAAGTATCCCAGTGATCGCTGCTTTCCATGGCTGCTGATTCTTGTATAATTCAGAGTTTTTGCATAGCTAAACGTGCGATATTTCAGAGCTATTTTAGTAACGATTCCGTAGAAAATCAGCAATAAAATTTTAGCAGTTTTCAAATGAGAGTGTGAGTTGATAAACCCTACAACTTTTGGATATTCAATGGTTCGTGGCGCCGAAGTAGCATAAATGTAGTATACGCTGTTGGTTGCTGGATCGAATCTTGGTAATTAACTATTTTCGCTCATTTTGATTAGTTTTTAGCTCTTTAGCTCTTCGTCGAAATTTAGGCAAATTAGAGATAATTTAACAATAAAATTTGCTATTTGTTATATAAGTCATCAATGGCATCCGCTGTTTTTTTTCGCTTTTTTATCGCTAATTTTCAATGTGAATTCAACCTGGGTACTCAATTTTATTGGTTGATTAATATCCTTAATTATATAGCCTAAAACACATTTCATAATGCCTCTTGAATTGTATTCCGTTACTATAGACAAGTGCAATGTCAAATTGATTCTTAAAAAAGTTTGTTTTCAAATGCGTTTTTGAAAAAATAACTACTAGAAATTGTAAGCAAAAACTCTTGCCAGCGTGCGTGGCCTTTAAAGTCATATTAAAGTCGTGTCTATGGAGAGGCTAGCAGACAACAACTATCAGCTGGTTAAATTTCTAAAACATGCGATAGTAAAATATGCAGTTGCTTGACAAAGTATGACGAAATCTGGCTCAAATACATTTCGAGCAAATATACAGCTTCAATGTGATACGGTTGTACTTTTAGCTTAAGTAAAAGTACGGGAAAACTGAATCCAAAAACTTTATCAATTATTGAGCATAAAATAGCAATAAATTTGACCTCCTAAACTTTGCTTGCATCTATCAGTGCTAAATGAAGATCCGGAGAAGCTCATCGTTTATGTACTGTCAAATTGAAGATTGATTTTTAAAAATATTTTTAATTATTTCCCCGATTGGCTGAGAAATTTGTCGCTGGTTCCAAATCCGCATATTAATAATAATAAACTGTTTCTGGTATAGGTCCACAATTATTCCTTTTTGCCAAAAAAGTAATTATCATTAAAAACCCCAGTGTGAAAAAACGTCATTATACAAATTATGCTTGTGTAAAGCTTCACGGGAAATTTCTCTGATATTTACAATAAGGGGAACAGTTCCATTTTTATTGTAAATTTTTCGCTAAGTTTGCGGACTAGAGGTCTGATTTTGGTTTTTTTTATCACCTGATATGCCATAAATTGGAAATTTTCTTTTAAAGACACGCCCTACAATTGTTTAAGCGACCGATAGAGTATAACTGATTGTCCACAACCAAAGAGACGCCTTTGGTATTTGATCAAATCCTGATGTTTTGGACTATAAATGTCATATTAAAATACATAATTCATCAACTGGTTTTTCTAAAGCAAGGTAGGATCACAGATTTCATCTCGAAGGTAATATTTTGAAAAAAAAATCTACAAAATTGCCGCCCTTTTTACCATTAACCAATTTTTCCACTTTTTTGCCGCCATTTTTTGAAGATAGGTTAATGCGTTTGCTAATCATTTAATTGTGGAATTTTTTGCCAATTAAAGAGAACGAACTTCCTCCCCTCTAGTTGATGAGATAGACGAAAGCTTCGAATTATAGTAAATCAGACATAAAGTACTGCAGTTATTTCTGAAAAACGAAGAGCAAATTTAAGAAAAAAAAACGAAAAATGTGTACTTTTTTTTTCATTTTTTGAAGACTTAGTTTTTTTAGGTTAAACCGCGACTGAATAATTTGTATTTTCCGCAATCATATTTGACGATAATCAGCGGTAACTAATTGCCTCAAAAAAACTGAAAACAACTGAAAACAAAGTTTGCATTTGTTTTTGAGTTTTTAGCTGCAGTTACGTAATTTGCCAAGGTCAAATTTATAATTTGTTCAAAATTTTATTATACAGGCATTAATGTCTATCGATTAGTACCGTACCAAATAAAAAAATTTTTTAGACGTTGACACCAAAAAAGGAGATATTTCTCAGACAGGTTTCAACAAGCAACTTAGAGTCACCTCACCCATTTACATTTTCAGATGATTGAAAACTTCTTTTTTGACCTTCCTGAAAAACAGCAACAATTTTTTACTCAGTTTTGTTATCAAACGAAAATTACGTTAACGCACATAAACGTTGAAAAAATTTAAAAACTTTTAAAAACTTTGAAAATTTTTGTTTTGCAAGGTTTTGGTATAAATAAGTTTTTGTAGCATAAATCTATATGCAATTCTTATGTTATTGAAACTCAAAAGAAAACATTGATATTTTACTTGCAATTTGAGAAGAGTTTTCCTAGAAAAAAGTTATATCTTATTTTGTTCACAGTTTTATGTTTGTTAATTTTCAATTTGTAATCAAGGTGAACTCCAACATTGTTGAAAAATTTCATTGCAAAAATGAAAGTTTTTGCTAGACCTACTTTTTCGAAGGCCAAAATTATCCCTTTTAAGTTTTTTTTTTGAAATTTCATTGAATTTTCACTGAATTTCATTTTTTTCTATCGTTTTTGGAGCTTTTATAGAGCCTGCAAGTTTTGTCAGACATAATCAGAGGGTTAACATAAGCAAACAAAAAATGATTTCTTTGTTTTTGGAATGCTGAGAAAATGAAATACGTGATATTTAAAAAGAAATGGTGTCAAAATTGAGCCACATGATTACCCATTTTTTACTATTTCAAATTCCGTTATTTATCCTGTTTTTACCTGATGTTTTCGATTTTTTAATTGATCTGAGTTTTTTCTGGAGCAAAACTTTTACCTTGATTTACCGTAACAAGGTTTTTTGAAACTTAATGTGTGTTCTTTAATATGCGCTAAGACGAGGAATGTGTGTTATTCAATTACCCTGCTCATATGTTCTGGAAAAAGGCATCAAAGCTTTTTCCAAAGTCTCGTAATATCGGCGTTTATTGAAAAAAATCTATTTTGAGATCAAAAATTTTCAATTATTTCACTAACAAGTAAGCAAGATGATGGGTCTGTAATTACCGGAATTACTTTATTAACCACCTTTAAATAGTGATATCACCTTAAATAGCTTTCGTTTCTCCCGATTTTTTTTGATTATAGACGTTGAAAACATTAGACAGAAACAATGAGGTATTTTATGCGCTCGTTTTAAATATTAAATTGCTAAATTTTTTCTGTGACCAACTGAGTGCTTGTTTTCAAACTAAAACAGTTTTTTTCACTTATATTGCATTCTATTCAATTCAAAAAAAGTTTTGCTGGATCGGGAAATTACAAACCGTGACATGCATAATAATTTTAAAAACCGTCCTGGCTTCATTTTTGAAAGTAGACACATTTTAACATCAAAAGTACACACTGAAGGTTTTCGTTCTTACCAAATGCTTTGAAAGCTGTGGCCATGATTTTCTTTTATTGCAACCAAACCTTTCCTTTTCAAAAACGCCTTGCAGTTAGATCTGGTTTTCAATCTCATCAATTTTTTCCAACAAAAACTTAAGGTTTCCAGAAATAAGTGATTGTGCCATAAAAAAAGGCGCTTCATTGCTTATTTTAAAAAATTCGTATGTCTGTCAGTTGTTTTTTTATCCAATTTTTTGGCTTGATTTTCAGCCATTGAAAGGAGCAAGTTTATCAAAAATTTTACCATTGTTGTTGACTGTTGCACATAGTACTAGATGCATCTACCTCTTTTATATCTTACAATTTAAGTCAGAACAACCGTTTCTTTACACTTTCCTGTTTATAAAGAGGGTTGACATTAGCAAACGAAAGGTGATTTTTTTTTCGGAATACCGAGAAGATCAATAATGTGAGACTTAAAATGAAGTGGTGTCAAAATTGAGCCATATGGTAACCACTTTTGCATTATTTCAATTTCTGTTAGTTTCATGTTTTCATTTAGTGCTCCCAGTTTTTAATTCTGAGATTTTTCAGGAGCAAAATTTCATGATTTATCATAGCAATCTTTTTTTGAAAATCAAAAGATTTTGCAGCAAACCGTACTAAATTTGGTAGCTTGCCCTCCTCGTCTGATCTGCAAATTGCGCTAACATAATTATACCTCATAAAATTTTATTGATTTTTTACTGAATTTGCACCGAATTTCAATTTTTTTCTTTCATTTTTGGAGCTTGCAAGTTTTGTCAGAAATAATCAGATGGTTAACATAAGCAAACAAAAAAATTCTTGTTTTTTGAATACTGAGAACATAAATAACGTGAGACCTAAAAACAAGTGGTGTCGAAATTGAGCCATGTGGTTACCTATTTTTCATTATTTCAAATTCCGTTATTTTTCCTGTTTTTACCTGATGCTTTTGAGTTTTCAATTGATCTGAGTTTTTTCTGGAACAAATTTTCGTGATTTACCGTAACAAGGTTTTTGAAATTCAATGTCTGCTCTGTAATTTGCGCTAACACGAGGAATGTGTGTTTTTCAATTAACCTGCTCATATGTTCTGGAAAAAGGTATCAAAACTTTTAACAAAGTCTCGTAATATCGGCGTTTATTGAAAAAAAAAATCAATTTTGAGACCAATTTCTTGCAATTATTTCTCTAACAAGTAAGCAAGCTGATGCGTCTGTAATTATCGGTATCAATCTTTTAACACTTTTATACAGTGATGATACCTTGAATAGACTTCAAATGTCCATGATTTTGTTTTATTATAGATGTTGAAAACATTAGCCAGAACCAGTGAGCTTTTTATGCGCTCTTTTGAGCTGCTGAATTTTTTCCTAACCAATGGAGTGCTTGGTTTCAAATTTAAACTTGGTTTCAATCACTTCTATCGCATCTTTTTTTCCAAAAAGAATTCACTGAATCGGGAAATTGCAAACCGAGACCTGCAATACCATTTTAAAAAAACCGACTTGGATTCAATTTCGAAAAAATAAGTGTTTATTTCATTAATATCAAAATTACACTTGGAAGTTTTTTCTTCTCACCAAATTTTTTTGAAAGCTGTTGCCACAATTTGATTTTTTATTGCAAACAAGTTTCTTTTCCTTTAAAAAAATCTGGTTTTCAATTTCATCAATATTTTTCAATGTTGAATTAGCGTGCATTTTTGGACTCTTCTCAAGGATGCACTTAAAAATAGCTTAAAATTTGTATTTTTTATTACAAAATAACTTCGATTATTTAGTGTTAGTTAAATATTTTCAAGTTTCTTTTCACTCTCATTGGTCTGATCAATTGTATGTCTCTCTCGAAATATGGTTTGTTTTTTGTTTCAGGACGTCTACGTGTTGTTCAGCGTGTTCATGTTGACGTTTCTGGTGGTGGCGTTCGCTGTGCTGCACACAGTGTACAGACACTTCACCTGTTGTCTGGAGGAGGAGGAGCTAGTCCATCTAGCCTTCAGACTCGACATCATCACCATGGCTGTTCTGGCAGGCATACATGTGATGTGGAACCTCTCTTTCGGACTATACGCCTTCCACAAGGTAAGCAATCATACAGAACACTACGCAAATAATTCAACATAATAATAATAAGGTGTTTATAGTGTTCTGGGAACGCTCCGAAGATCAATTTGGTTGACCTAAGAAAAAAGTCTATAAAGTTTTTGATTTTTTTTTTTTGAAAATCGCCCCCGTCCCTCGAGAAAATCCTAGACCCGTCCCTGTAAATACCAATTTTTGGGCCCAAATTAATTAATTTAAACTCTCTCTTTCCTTAAATTGAACCTTTATCAAACTTCAACACTTTTTTGCTACCTGGTGAAGCCTTCTTTTACTTCTCGAAAACCTTGCAAAAAAATTAAACAAATTGCTGCCCAATTTCAGCCAAAATTCAACCCACTTCAATTAACTGCAATCAATTGCCCCTCTAGCAGTCAATTATTTAATTGGAACTTTGCTCCCAATCAATTAATTGGATAAATTAATTGATTCCTCAATTAATTTTTACAACATTGGTCTCTCGTATTCCTTGAGTTTTTGCGTATTCAAAATTCCACAATCTCTTTTAACTGTCACCTATAGATTTATTATATCTATTTTGAGAATTCTGATAACATCCCATCTTGAAACCCCACCCAACCCTCGTCACCTTTTCCCACTTCCAGCACTCAATTGGGCCTCCTTTCTTCCTAACTTCAAACTCCCCCCCCCCTTTTGCTGCCTAGTTCAGAAAAATATACAGTGTAGCAAACAAATCAAGGAATGCTCCTCCTCTAAATTTTATGTCTCAGTTGAGTTGTCTATTATCTATCAGTGGGCCAATTATTGGCACATGGGACTAATCTCTTCCCTGAATAGACCAAGTTAACAATCCCCCCCCCCCTTAAAATTAATCGGCAATTCAAGCAGTAAGGCCTGCATGTACTTTACTCAAATCTGATTGGCTGAAAAGTAAAACTTTTAACCAAGTGAACGATTTCTTCCCTAACTTGATTTAGGGGGAGATTGTTTAGTTCATCCCAGTTTTAGGGTTATTTTCGAAACTATTCAACTAAGGGGTGGATGGCTATTATTTACTACGCACCAAACGGAGGGGGGATTAGTTGAAGATATCATTTTTGTAAGTTTCAAGTCCACTTTGCCCCTTATAAGCTTGGAATAAAAAAAAAGATCCCTCAAATTAGCTTGATCACTTATCCATTTAGTTTGGGCGTTTTTTTAGGTCGACCAAATTGATTTTTCGAGCGCTCCCAGAACACTATAAAGACCATGTTTTGACAAATTGTCTGAGCCGCAGTCAATTTTTGAAAAAAAAAACAGGTCAAAAATACCGTTTTTGAGTAATTTTGGAAAAAGTTTGACCAGAAAACTAAATTTTTTTTACCGCGTGCTCCCGTTCAAAGTTAGTATATATTGGCGTCGAGTGTTGTTCTGTGTCGAGAACGTCGGTTTTTTATCTGATAAAGACCTGCATGTATTTTTTATTCTGGCGCGTTTCTGAGTAAAATTTTTATTCAGAATATATTTTTAATCAGAATATATTTTTATTCTGAATAAGTTTTCAATCTGTTATGTTTCAGACTCGCCAAGTTACAGACAAATTAAAGGAAGACGAAGCCATCTACGCCGAAAAATTATCAGTAAGCTCATTTCTACTTTTTTACAACTGCCATATATGAAAATAGAGTGCGATTCTTTAATCCGACTTTTGACGCTTGGTTATGTTATACAAAAAGCTGCATATTTAACGTGAAATTCTCTGAATTATGAAATAAAATCATCGTAGTGTATGCTTTTGCAAAAATTTTATGCTTTGCCCTTGCTTAAAATTTCGAATCTTCTCAACAGTCTCTCACCCCCACCACCCCTACCCCTATTGCATCTACTGAAGAATCGGATCTACTTAACAATTGACCCCCATTTGGTATCTACTTAAGAATTGCCACTCCTATTATAAAAGCAGTAAATTAGCACTGAGCTTTCTATTCAGAATTAGAATTTTGCTGCATTCTGGTTGGTCAAAAATGCGTAATTTTATTATACTTAATAATCGCCCCCTTTCTTAAAGGGGGGGGGGGGCAATTGTTAAGTAGATCCGAAGAATCTCCACCCCTGTAAATAAAAACAGTAAATTCGCACTAGAGCATTGTATGTAAATTCGAATAATGCTGCATTCTGATTGGTCCAAAATTCGCAGCAAGTAATCTACTTAACAATCTCCCCCCTTTCTTGAAGGGGGGATTGTTACGATGATCTAAAATTTCTACTGTTGTGTTATTACAAAAACAGCGGAGGTTATTGTCCAGTTCTTATTTCAGATCTTTTTAAATACCCCCCCTCCTCGCCTGTCCCAATAGGAAGACTTAATGGGTTCGGGGAGACTCGTTGCTGGGTTGAAAATAAGCATATGATTAACCGTTGAAAGAGGTCTCTATAGGGGTGGCAATTTTTTTCTAGGGTTGGGGGAGGGAATTTAAAGAGATTCTTTTTTTCTGAAACTTTCAGTGACCAAGCTAACATCCTCCCCAAACAAGTTTAGGGAGGAGGATGTTAACTTGGTTCTAAGTGGGAATTTTCAGCCAATCAAAATTGAGGATATTAACTTGATCCACTTTCAGATTTTACTTACCGCTCTTTTCAAAGCCCAAAGTTTGACCTCTTTTCAAAGCCCAAAAATGTGCAAACACTTTGGACTAATGCAAAACGTGTCCGCGGTTAGAGGTCGCGGGTTGCTTTACTTTGAGGTGAGTGTGAAAAGGACTTTTCATTTCATATTTTAATTTCACACTCCATTTAGCAGAACGATAAGCGTGGTCTACTTCACCCATATGTGAACACAAATTGGCCGGGCAGCAAAAATTTGGTCGTTCAAAAACTTGGAGGAAAGACATTTTCTCCGAACGTCCTTACAACCGAATAAAAAATTAATTCTGAAAATTTAATAAGTTTTGAATCTTATCAAGAAACAGAAAACGAAAAAATTACAAGAATAAAAATCTATCTCAATGTTGATTAAATTTTTCAATAAAAAGATTGAAAAATATTATAAAAATATTTAGAAAAAATGAAAAACACTTAGAAAAGGGACGTGTCTAGGATTTTCTCGAGGAGGGGGGGGGGGATTGGATTGAAAGAAAATTGTGTCGAACTTTAAGCCTTAGAACTAAAATGATGGCACAAGTACTGATTCACCTATTTTAGCGCTATTATTTTTGCTCTTTTTGCTCTATTAGCCATACAATGAATCGGTTTCGGTTTGATTCCAGCAGAGAGCAACCTTCAAACAGTCGGCCAATTTTGACTACCAGGACCGTATTATTATACTATGGTCAGCGCAACTACCATTATGATATATATGATATAACGGTTATAATGTTGGTTACTATGAGTTGTTGACGTACAACACAGCAGACATGGCATTGTCGTGTTTGGTTTATGTGGAATTTGTTAAGAATCAATCAAGTATGAAAACGTTAAAAAAGGTCTGCTCTGAAGTTAAAAGGCTGGTTAAAAATCACTTATTTGGCGCGCCTTATTCGCAGACAAACACAGAAATCATGGTTGGGATATAAATTTTCCAACACCTCTAATTTTGAAGTGGTAACTCTTTACCTGGACTAACTTTTATTTGGAGTTATTCTTTCATGCGAGAATCCTGTCTCTATTCTTCAGCAAGCATCAATTTGGTTGAAAAATAGCAAACAGAGCTATAAACTAGAATGCCAAATTACACGTCTCAAATCATGCCAAAGGGTGATTTATAATAAACCAAACCAGGGGCGGATCTAGGATTTTCTCGAGGGGGAGGCGGATTTTCATAAAGTTTTCGAAAATTTTGACCTTTTTTTTAGGTCGACAAAATTGATTTTCCGAGCTCTCCTAAAGCATTAAAAAGACGCTATTTTGGACAAATTTTCTTCGCCGCAGGCTAATTTTGGGTGTTTTTGGGCCCTTTTGGAAAATTTTGACAAAAAAATTGCGGTTTAGGCGCCTCTAGAAAATTTTAGGGTCGGTCGGCTAAAAATGGATTTCTTAAAAAGTACCAAAGGGGGGACCCAGGGGCGGATCTAGGATTTTCTCGAGGGGGGGGGGCGATTTTTAAAAAGAAATCGAAAATTTTGACCAACTTTTTTTTTTTTTTAGGTCGACCAAATTGAGTTTTTGAGCTCTCCCAAAGCACTGTTTTGCCCCTATTTGTGGCAAAATTTTCTGCGCCGCAGGCAAATTTTTGAAAAAAAAACAGTCAAAAAAGGCGTTTTAAGGCACTTTTTGGAAAAGTTTGACCAAAAAATTGCGTTTTTTCAGCGCGCGCTCCCCCCTAAAAAATTAGTAAATATTGGCGCCTAAGGCGCCTTTAGAAAAATTTTAGGGTCGGTCGGCCAAAAGTGGATTTCTTAAAAAGTACCAAAGGGGGGAGGGACCCTTTGGGTCGGCAGGTTGTCGAATCCCTAAGGGAAGGGGGCGGGGCGTCCGCCCCCCCCGCCCACCTAAATCCGCCCCTGGGGGGACCCTTTGGGTCGGCAGGGGGTCGAATCCCTGAAAGGAGTCGTCCAACCCCCCCCCCCCCCCCTCAAATCCGCCCCTGAACCAAACCCACCCTACCTGCGATTTTTCACAAATAATTTTTTTGTTCAGATCACCAGATTGTTAGAAACTTGGCATGCAGACTAGTTAGACCATGACAAACATAATTGGTCCTCATACTTAGCCATGTAAAACCCCTCGATACGTCATAAAGTTGATGCTTATGTAACGTGGGGGGGGGGGTTCCAGATAAAAAGAGCCGTTAATGTTTTGGGCAAGGTACTATTTTCAAATATCATTTGCTCATGTCAAAAAAATGTGTAACCAAACTGCAAACTTTAGTTGTTTCTGTTTATTTTTTAATATTTAGCAAAGAAGACTGTGGTAACAATCTTTTTTACTTCCTCTGCAAGTGTCTCAAAATCATTTCAAGCTGGAGTGAAGCAAGCTCCTCGGTCGTGAAAGCTCCATACATATTATAACTTTTATTAGTTGATAATGAATATTGGAGAAAAAAAAACAACACAAAGTTCAGTGATTCTAATTTACGTTTATCAAAACTTTGGTTTACGAGACAAAATAAAAGGCAGTTGCACTTTTCACGGCTTTGCCGTAGAAAAATTGTCCCATTTTTAAAAATAAACGGCTATTATTGTATAAAGTATATTATTGTATCGCTTCAAAAGGCGTTTGCAGTTTCAAG